ATTTGATTATTCAACAGAAATGAACACTCAATTAATAATTACTAATAATTAAATTTAAATTTCATATCTAAGAAAACTTGTATATATTATTTAACGCATAAAAAAAGTTTTTTCTTTAGAATATATCTATCTATTAGTGTTTTGGATAATAGTATTGAAAAAGCAAAATGAATATGAATTTCAATGTTATTTTTCGATATTATTGTCTATAGTTTTCAAATTATTCCGTCGAGTGAGACAAATGAAGAAAAAGAAGAGAAGAAAACACAGTTGGGATTCAGTTCCTGGTAAGCCATATATCATCCAAATTATATAGTCTATAATTTTTATATAACATTTTTTGTTGTTTGTGTGTTAAAAGCATAGACAAAAAACATACATTCACTTTAAATCTTGATATACTCTTTGAATATAATAATTTATATTCAGTTTATTATTACTTGTATTTTTCTCATTATTCTCAACAATATATCTAAGCGTTTAGTTATGTTATGGTATGTGCCGTGAAATTCAATTCTGGAGTCATTTTTGTGAATGTAAAGTGAATTTTTTAGTTACAAACACAAGACTTCCAAATATTTCACTGGTATTTAGTTTCGATTTTAATATTACTTTTTTCTTTTCAAAAAATGCTAAAAACAAAAAATTCTTTATTTTCTCTTTATTCAAAAGATGTGTTCATAATTGGCTCTAAATTAATGAAACATAGATAATAAAAACGACTCAATCATTAAAATTGCAAAATTCTTTACTTTTTTATCATATACTTGAAGATTATTTTATAAATAACACACAAAACCTAATATAAAGATCACAATTATTTCTTATATACAGAATTATGTACATAAGAGTCAATCAATTTATTCATACAATTTATTGAACGCATTTTTTTGTGATATAAAACATATTATTAGGCAATTTATTTACGGCAACCAAAAACTATGATAAACTAATTTTTCGAGTCATTTATTTGCAGCGAAACTATTGTTATTATAATAAATGATTTTAAAATCGATTTATTAATTGCTTCGCATAAACGGCAGCCGAAAAACATAAAACGTTAAGTAATTATTATAATTAAAAAATATTGAAACATTTGGTTAATTAGTTCATTATATACAATATGTATAAAATGCTGAGATAAGCGTTCACTTCCAACAAATACTGTCTATGTTTCACAAAATTTATTGAAACAGATATCAAAATATTTAGTCATTTGTTTTAATCAATGAAACATTATATTTGTCTTTTTATGGCCACCGAAGAGCCAGTTATCCATTGCTTTTGTGTGATTAGGTCAGAGGTTAAGTCCAATTGCAGACAATATCGATTCAATACTGGCTTATATTTAATATAAGGGGTGATTCGCATATTACGTTCACAATTTCTAAGAAATCTAGATCCCGTCCCCCACCCCCTTGTTTGTATGTAGCCATATTACGTTTGCAAAATTGTCGGTTGACCTCCACCCCCACCAACAAGAAATAAAATACCACTATATTTATTTTAAAATGGGAAATAAAACTATTTCTATTCAAAATTCATATATTTATTCAACACTTGTTTTCAATCCGTTATCAAAAGTTCAACTTTGATAAAAATGAATTCCTTACATTTTTGAAAATATTTAAATGCAGATATTCTTAAGGTTTCTACGCCCCCTCCCCCTCGATCGTAAAAGTTAGCTTTGCACGAACCCTCTCCCGCCGTGCGAACGCAATAAGTGAATTACTCCTAACTTATTATGAAAAAACGTGAAAATAATGCGAATTTGGGGTAAAAATAGTGCATTCATTGTAGAAATTTTTAAATAATAAAGCGATTCACTGTATAATCATTGAGATTGTATGCATGGCTTGAGTTACTCTATTATAATATAAACCATATTTTTGCTGACATTCTTGAATGTGATATTAAATTGAGTTTTGACTTTATATATAATTTTTATTAGATTAGAAAAATGTTGATTCAATACAAGTAATGACAATCAATACGTTGAGAGAAGTGCCTCTTTTATGTCCGGATTATTAATTCGATACCATTTTTCAGGCAATTAATTGTTGCTATTTTTAGGGATGATTTTTTATCATACAATTCATACATCCATTGATTCAATGATAAAATTCTTAATTTATGTCTCGAAAACAGCGAATTGATTGCCAAATGGTTGTAATATAATACATGACTTCTCTCTCCCTCTCCAGACATATTGTTATACAATAAATCAATAAATTTCGCATTTGATTGCATTTATATCTTAAATGTTAGCGAATAAGTGAATTATGAGATATAGTGGTAATGAGTGATAAATTATCATTATATACCGATTGAACCATTATTACTGTATTCATAAAACATAAAACAACTCAATACTCCAATAATTGTATATCGTTTCTCTACATATGTGTGTTCACTGACTTATATTGTATTTTAAAGCATTTTCATCAATCATTTGTATGAAATAATCACAAAAACTCTTTATTGGATTTTAAATTATTTTCTGCTATTATTTAAGAAAATAAATGAAAAGAGTTTATATTCGTCGGATCGATGGCTCGTCTCCTAAATCTCTTTATAGTAATGCATATGAAATGGTAAACATTTATTATGTTATATAAATGCAAACATATTTTATTAGAAAAAATGCAATTAAATACAAATTGATTTTCAAATACGATTCGCACAGAATTCTTATGAAATTCATATAAATTTAATTTAGAAAAATAAATTTTCAGACATAAACTAAAATGATTAAAAGTAATGTAATAATATTTACGGAATAAATTGATGAATCATTTTCCTTTGCCAAAGAAATCCGTGTTTGAGACGATTATAACTTGAAAAATGAATTTAAAAATGTCTTGAAATAAATGATGAGAAACGAAATCATAACATATTTTAAGCCCAATTCTAAAGTATATGTGTTTTGCATATGAAAAGTGAATTTAAAAACATGAAAATTGTCTTTTCATTCATGTAGTTATTAAAGTGGTGTTTGTCTTGTTTTGCTTATGTATTGAATTAATTGCTTTTGTCTCATAACTCATGAAAGCAAACATTTACTGAAGGTTTTTATTTTGATATTATTGTTTCAAAAATGCAATAAAAGGCAACAAATTCAATGATTTTTATTGAACATTAGTTATATTAAGTTAGAATTGATTTTTTCATTTAATAGTCGAGTTTAACATTAGTTTCGTTTCAACACTTTCTTTGCATTTTCAATGTTTTACGCAAAAGAAACTAAAATCCAATGATATTTTACATAAAATTCTTGACTATTATTCTGACGACAATATTGTAGAGAATATTTCAAATTTAAATGACATAAAAAACATACATTAGACCAGAAAATCCTTGAATACTTTTACTTAACTTTCGACTCAAACAAATTGAAAGTTATGCTAAAGAAAAACTACTCTTTACTCTGGAAATGATTGAAATTCTATTATTTATTTAATAAAAAGTGCATTTCTTCTCATATACTATAAAATCACTCAATAGTCGACTAAATTAGTGCCAAAGAACAGCAAATTTTAAAGAATAAAAACATATATTACAAAATTGATAGAAACACGAGTCAAAACAGAACTGCACTGTATATACAAAGGTTGATATAATGGTATATTCCGGGAGTGAGAATCGGAGTCGTCTTATTCTCGCCATTTATTGAGTCTTTGCATTGAGTATTGAGTACTAAAGACAACAACACATCACAACATGTATTCAAAATTTGCTTTGATTTGAACAAAAGCAAAGAAAATGTACACTTTTTTCTCCTACAATCAAATTATGTCAATAGAGAGATCGTGTGCTTTAATAAATAACTAGCCGTTCATTCAATGCCTCATATGCTGTAATGCATTAGGCTTTAGGTTTTTTCCCTTTTTATTTTCATTATTTTTAACACAATAGTAAGCAATAATTTTTTAGATCCCTATAATAGCGCACAGAGAATGTGTGTCTTTGATATCCAGTAATTATATGATGTATTTTCGCTGTATGTCTTAAATTTGATAAAATTCTACAGAATATACTGTTTTGAAATCTAATATAAGCCAAAGAAACACATATTAAATAAAATGCGTTTATTGTGTCATTAATTCCCTTAAAAATATAATAATAATAATGGAATATAAAAAAGTTGGTCGTTTATTTGGATGTATATTGTTTGAGGTCAAACATTTTTTTAATAGCTATATATAATAGTTATAAATCACAATGAATTGCTTTTTATGCAACTTATCTATTAATCATCTCATTATTGGTGCTCTGAGTTCCGCCTTATATATCAACCACTCTATAGTTATATACATTTCACGCAACGATAAAGATTGAGATTTCAAGTCAATACACATCTTCTGTATATTTGTATCTTTTCTTCTTATTCTCCATTCCTTTGTATTGTTTGCCACTATTTTAGTTGTTATAAGACTTTTATTTTAAAAATTATATAAAGCATGTGTTTTGCGGACAAATTTGTAGACTCGCTTGTAATTTACTTGTGAACCATTAAAAGCAACGCTTTACTATTTTTTCATCATTTTTAATTCACTTTTACTCCATTTGTGAAACATGTCTGCAATTTAATCAATTTTTAAAGTGGTTTCAAAAACTACAATATATATAAACACTACACGTAAATATCATAAACACATACATTCACGTAATATGTGTGGATATAAACTAAATTAAAAGCCTTTCCACAAGAAAGTGATGTTTGTTTACCGACAATAAACACTGTGTTATACTGTATGTGATTATATTTTTATTAAAATTTTATATTGATTTTTAATTTTTAGAAAATCAATTTTTGAACACAATTTTAGTCACAGCCTTAAAAATATATACAAATAAATACAATTATCTTTCATTTCGACAATGAATTTACAACAAACGAAAAAATGCATTAAATCATTAAAACCCAATGGAAATAAAATGCTTATATCTTATTATTATCGATGCATTTAATGTTATAATTAAGTTTATGTCACCAATTATTAAGGGAAGAATCTCTTAGTTTTGCGGATATCCCTCAAGGCTTAAGAGGTGGCAAAGATGTCATCACAACAGATATTATTCACATGAAAATAGAGTCTATAATTAGATCTGAGAGTTATTTATATTAGGAATATATGTCAGACCACAACACAACACATATCTAACGTGAAAATTAGATTATTTGGTCTATAGATTAAAACCTTGTAGAATACCTACCGATGCACTACTACTTCGTGTGTAATCTCTATTTAATAACAGTATTAATCTCACAAATTAATTAAATTTAATTAATAAACCAATCGATGTTTGACTAAAATTTACAAATAAATACAATTACAACATTGGAAACATTAAAAATTGATTTATTGATTTGCAAAAAACTATAGACTTACTGGTGATGCGATACAAAGATACTCTAATATCATTGTTATTAATAAATGTATTTCAAAATAAGGTAGTTTTGAGTTGTTCTTTGGGATTACGATTGGCTAAAACAAGTGAATAGACTTTTTTATAATACATAACATTTGTTTGAATTAGTGACTAGTCTTTAATATTTAATAAAATGCAAATAAAAGCGTTAATAAAATATAATACAATTAAATGCTTCTCAAAATTAACAATTAATTATTTAAGAGATGGTTAACAGTATTGTGACGCCAAACGTGTAGAGAAAAATAATATTCAAATATTAATAAAATAACATTTAATTATAAAAACAAGAATTGATTTGAATGTACAGAATGTATGAGAAATGTATGAATCAATGAAATGTCTTCTCATCGCAAACCTCTCGCCACAAAGTTTTAATAATTCAGACAATGTTTGTGTATATAAGTGGACGAAGAGCTGCTGTTTTGTCGGTTATCGTCAATCTTTGGCATTTTGGCACTCATTCACTACTGATTCAAATATTTGTAAATCCAGTTCATATATGAGGAGACATTTGAATATAAGCCGGGCATTAATGGTCGGGCACAACCTATTTGGCACAACACGACACAATCATTACTCTTCATTAAATTCAGCTCACATTACGAGTTAGTGTATGGAAAGGGAAAAGAGAGCAAAGAAATTAACGTGAAATAACTGTTAATGAAATGATTTTCATATCAATTAATTCAATTAATTGCTATTTTTCTCTTTCAAACGTTTCCCATTGTATTTGTGCTATGAATATAATTATGTGCACTAATATACTGGTATATAACAGACCTATTCCTGTCGATACGATTCCGGCCACAAAATAATATTCCGGTCCACCAGAAGCTGCAATAAATTTATATACAATTATTTACAAATATTACAATTATGTCAACCGCTAATGAGATATCGATTTATTTATGAAAAATGTGATTCAATTATATTAACACATGTGTATACTATTTGGATACGAATATAGTGTACATTAATATTGCATTCATTTTATTAGATGCAAAAATGCCTGCGTTTAAAATGCAATCAATAACCAGAGAGACGGAGACTTACAATATTTGAGAAGTAGTGGTCCTCCAGAGTCTCCATGACAGGCGTCTCTGCCACCAATCCTCTGACCGGCGCATATCAGCCTATCATGTATTTGCATATCTCTTCCGGCCATTCGGAACCACTGTTGGCACAGTTTGTTGTCGACGATAGAGAGTTTCACTTTTTGCAACTTTTCACTATACACTTCACTCTTTTCGGTCTTCTTGCCCCACCCGACCACTACTCCCTCCCTCCCGGCCAGTGACGTGACCTCATTGGGTGGGAAGCATACGGGCCACGCGTATTCACTCCAATGGATATCCGCGTCCGTCTTCAACAACGCTATGTCCGCGTTATTAATATTGGCCGGACTTTTGAAGCCCGAGTGTCGGCTGTAGTTGTCGTGGATTACAATCCTCTCTACCGTATAATCACGTGTGTTGTGATCGTTACGGAACAAATCGTATTCACCGATTCTCACCACAAAATTGGAGTTTAGCTGACTTTGCACACAATGCGCGGCCGTCAGTATCCATCGCTGACCTATTATCACACCTCCACACTAATTGTCCGCAATATAGACAATACAGACAATACGTACAGTTTGTTTGTTTTAAGAGAAACATTGTTTTATAGATTTTTCGATCATTAAGGAGAGAGAGAGAGAGAGAGAGAGAGAGAGAGAGAGAGCGAAATGGAGAGGGAGAGAGGGAAGGAGGGAGAGATGGGTTAGTAGTTCATGAAAAACACGGAGAGATTTAGTGAGAGATTGTGTTTAGGATTATGAGATGTCTTACGTGATGATTGCCATTGCGTCTGATAGAGACAGCCCATGGAAACTCTCCATCATAGCTATCGTTACCGCCGACCACTTTGGATGTCCTAATGATCTGTTGTTTTCCACAGCCCGACGCTCTGCTATCGACTCCCGTATTGAGTGAATATATGAGGAGTACTAATAATGAGACGAAAAGCATCATTATTGGCGATACGAGTGATTTTCATTATTGTCATCGAGTGTTCAAACTATTTATACGAATATATATTTAACATTTAACTGACACCCAGTGCTGTTTGAGTGGTGTTTGGTTGTTGTCGTGTTGTCATAAGCCTGAGTCCCACTAACCTCATTATAACCTCATTCCCCGTCCATTGCCTAACTGTGATATCGTTGAAAGCGATTCCACACCAGAAAGAGAGTGCACTCATACTGTCCTCTCAGCCCATCACAGCATATGTCAGAACCGCTTTCACAGTCAAAATAACAGATCATAAATACGAGTTTTGTTTCCCAGATATGTTTCATAGTATTATCACTTTATCTATAAATAAGTATAGCTTTATATATATTTGTGGATAAGTTTAAGTTCAAGTGCTTTCTTGTTATGCAACTATATATTCGTGTGACCTTTTCATTGGGATCTCTCACTGAGAAACTATTTTTACCCGCAATTCACTGAGAAATTAAGTGAAATAAAAAATAAAAGGGTTTTCAAACTCTCTGCCCGTTATATCGATTGGCAAACATTGAAATCGTATATATTTTGAGAACAAATTTGTTTATTATTTGCAAATATAATATTTATTTCGCTTTTTATAGAAAATGAATATTCATTTACAGGAAGGAAGAGTGGGATTGAGATGAGAGTGAAAATTTGCCATTTATTCACTTGAATAGTACAATTATAATTATCATTATTTTTATCATTAATTTGAATCATAATATTTATGTTTTATTTCCGTTTTATAGTATTATTTACACTGGAAATTGTTGAGTGTTTTTGAGATTCAATTTCCAGTGGATTTAATCTAAAGTGGTTGAGATTCACCCAACATTTGTGAATATATTGTTAAACTAATTAATTTTTATAAGTATTTACTTTAATACTAGTACTCACTTTCAAAATCACACAAAATTATGCATTCAATAATACAAAAATATCAGTAGTATCAAAGCTTTTTGCAATTAAAAACACCAATGATTTGCATTTAAATATAGTTTTATTGAGCAATAAAATGGAAATTAGGATAAACTAAAAGAAATTTCTATTTTAATACAATTAAACAAATAATTTCTATTCAATCTTATTATTCAATGTATTAATTCTTGAGCTATATTTGGAGGCAAAGAATTGATGGGATGTATGGAGTGATAGGCATTTGCACTCGAGATGTAATACTAAACTGTTGTATGGCATCCGACATAAGCCTTATGTGAACGACCGTATATTTAGTGCCATTAATTGATTAGTACTGTATATATAAGAGTAAATTACTTTATACTCGGCATATAATTGCTTTTATGTATGAATACATTAATACATTTATATCTCATTTTATTTGTCTAAATCCTAATGTAATACTCTATTAGCAGTGAATGATATTTATACTGATTTCTAGCTTAAATGAGAGGCAATTTTTATACTTATATTACAAATGGTTTCCTCTGATCTAATAGTTATGGAAACAATTAATTCTTAATGTTCTGTATATTTATCTTTCATTCAACGAAACAATAATTATTTTGTTGTCTGAAAACTCGATAAGGATTTCAGTAATCAAAAAGACTTTATTTTAATAATGAATGGATTTAATGAAATGGATATCATGTCAACTCATTTCTAAATACATTTTATATATAATTAATGCCTGTATTTAATTAATTAATATTTATTATTAAAAAATAT